TTGTTGATTCTATTATATTGTTTGCTATAACAATTAAATAGCATAATATAAGATTTATGTTAGAAGTGTATCTATTATGTATATATTATATGTATAATATGTATTTTTATTTTAAACGTTCTATTTCAAGACAAACAAGAGAAATTGCAAAATCGCGTTTACGTCGATATAAATATGCTAATTCCCGTTACAGCATTTTGTTTACATAATAATATTAATTTACAGACTTTTCACGAGCGTTGGCAAGCTGGACAAGATGCTCGGAAATTTCAAGTGGCGAAACTTCGCCGCAGTATGATTGCCAGCTCTCGGCTACAATCTAGTGCTTCAATGTTTCCAGGCATTCGGAAGAGATCGCTTCGTCCGAAAGCATTAAACCACTTGAGGTACTTCAATCGGCTTCAAACTTTAGATTGATGTGAAATTTCTCGGTAGACCAATTATTATGGATTTGCTTTTCTTCTTTTGTGTTCTGTATGAAAGTTGAATTTATTTCAGAGTACGTCATTAAAGAGATCATCATAAGAAATACAGAAGAACGAAGAATGAAACGACGATTCAGTACGATCTTGGCGCAATCCTTCCTTGGTTAGATGGTATTTATATTGGAATTTTTTGGTTATGTAGGAACCATTTCAACGGATTTGAGATTCTCAAGTACATATTTTCAGTCATACCTCAATGACGATTATTTTTCTGGATTTGCGTATATTTGTCCTGTATATTTAAGCATTACCTTAGATCGCTTCAAATACGTTTTATGCCAATAAGATAAGCGAAAAGAATCTCGGTTTTTTTCTGATCAAAATCGAAAACGATTGTAGTCTCGTATGATAATGATTTGAAAGGAAAGTTTGGTTCAAACGATTCTTGAGACTGGATGAGAGTTTCGGACGAAAGGCATACCCGACATGGAAAGTTTACGTCGTCGAGATTTTGACAGAACAGCCGAGGTCGATTCTATTGCAGTGCTCGTGTAGAGCAGCAGTTTGTATGATGTATGTAGGTCAGCGTTTTTCTCATCCTTTTACATGCAGTGGACCATCGGTGCATCATTTGAAAGAAGTATGTTGCTATATTGCGGTATGTCAGTGTATATTTGTACAATACTTGAAGACATGTTTGAAAAAGCGGACAAACGGACGAAAACATGTTGGTTTCTGTATAAGCACACGAAAACTTTTTAAATTATTTTTCTTTGTTCTTTACTGTTTTCTATCAATTATCTATTACAACATTCAATGTGTTAATCCGATGTTACATAATATTTTTAGAAACAATCATTGTTTATAAAGATATATATATATTTATATTTTTTGTACAGATTAGTTATATTTAAGGAAAATGGAAATGTATGTAACGTTGAACACTGAAATATAGTACTTCTATTAGAGAATATTTCTATCATACATTAATATATACACATCGATAATGTAATATATCAATAGATTCTTTATTTACAAATCATTTTTGAGCAAAAATAATTTAAAAAATTATTTCTTTAATGATAAGACATCGTCTATCAAGAGAAAGAGGATTAAAAAAGAGAATACGAAGGAAAAAATAGTGTTTAAAACAATTAAAACTGTGCAATAATTGGGTACAGATAATATTAATGTAAGTCTGATCTAATTAATGTAGTATCTGATTAGGAAGATTGAGATACTTAAGATAAAAGATAACAAAAAAATATATATTTAGATCGGAAGTGTAATATTTAGATATCGGATTTTAGTCATTAATTATCAAGGAATGGATGGATGTGTGAGATTAAAAGAAATTATAAACCAAGTCTCTTCTTGGTATATCAATTGAAATAAGAAATATTCTGAATTCTATAAATACATTTAATTAGATATTTTATTATTAAATGTATTATCTGCTAAGTGAAGAGCAAAGTCAATAAAACTGTCTTCTTAATCACTGTTTTATATTGTGTATCTATTCAATAAAGAGAATATATTCCAGAAACAGATCGGTGAAAGATACAATGAGTAACATTAGGTTTGTGTAACCTCCATGGGTGACTGACCACAACCAGTACTTGGTTATCTCTCGCTAAAGGGTTAGGTCAGGTATATCCTGTCTGGCTTTTCAGTTTCTGTTTCACGCTATTCGAACATCATGAAATGTTATGGTTGCGGTATTTGGTGTCTAAAGTTCCGCGTGTAACCGCAAATGTTATTTTCGAGCATTGCGCTACTTTGTCATAATACTATGCATTTTGATTTTGGTCAAAATATTTGTGGGGCAATTTAATTTGCAGATAGAAATCATAAAATTATATCATATTAAATTGCGTACGCCAGATTGGTATTACATCTAGTTCAATACTAATTCGATAAACGCAATAAAAGCTAGTATTGGTTATATTGACAAAACAGATGAAATGATTAGATTTATCCTTATTATATATATGTGTATATATATATTGATATTTGTTTCAATAAATCTAACACGAAATGGCAATTATGACTCTGCTATCACTCATACGACTTGACACATTTCTAGATTGGAACGATTAATCATAAAAGTATTACAGACTCAATATTGTATTGAGTAGTCATTTAAAACAAAGGTTAAATTATTAATTCATAAATTTATTTGCATTTATTACACAACAATACTTGCCATAAATAATATTCTAATATATTTAAAATAGGAAATTGTCAGTAAAAATTGCTAGTAAAAAATTAGCAAGAAGATATTGAATACAACAAAATAAAATTTCTATTTCTTTTATTATATAAAATTTCTGAAAAAAATATAAATGACTTGATAATCAAAATAAAATAAAGATAATTTGTTTTAGTTACTCTATCAATTTAATTCAAACACACAATATAAGATTTTCTATTTAAATTTTCTACTGAATTTTTTTACAAAAGTGATTTAATACAGTCAAAATATGCAAAAGAAAGATAATTCGCGTTTTCGGTAATCTGCTAATTTAATTAAAAAATTATAATGATTATATAATTTAAATAATACATGATTTTCAATCTTCTATTAGTATTTTTTGTAACATTTTTCAAAAGTAAAAGTGATTGATATAATTAAATTAAAAGCTGTAAAACAAAATAAAGATAATTTGGTATCGACAATCTATTTAATTTGAGAATGGAACATAGAAATGATATAACACTTAATCTTTTCA